CCATATGATTATGGAACCGTAGCCTGTTTAAATGATCCTGTGGGCCGCTAAGAGCAAGGTGATAATACGACCGAAACGAGTAAATCCGAACAAATGGCAGGAGGTTTTATTAATTGTTCTGGGAATGATCTTCCGTCGGTCGTTCGCTAAATGCAGTCAAAAGTTTTGTTTTGAAAGCCTATTTCTTTGTGGCAATTTGCTCTTCGGTCCGTCATCCCTAAAATTTAAAAATCGATAACGAATTACGGCTGTCTGCCAACAGTTTTTTTCTTGCCCGTTTTTCTCCAATTGCACATAATTCCTCTTCAGTCAGCCATCCCATCGATTCATCGCATTGTCGCCGTTTTGGCCGATTATGTCATGAAACTTTTAGCGTCTAGTCATACCGCTGCGCAACTACGCCAAAGTATTGCTACTGAGTGGAAGCTTCCAAAGAATCTATTTTTAGTAAGCAGCTGAAGTAGGTAAGTTACATGTAGTTTGGGATAAAAAAATCTATCTTGAACACAGTTTGTTATAGGTTCTTTAGGAGGATTTTCAATGACGGTGTTTCTTCGATCTTTCGCTTATTATGAGTTTATAAAGTTGTACGTTTGTCTGACTGGTGATTACAAAACTTCTTAGAATTTGGTTGTCTGTTTTTTTTCAAGAGAATGACGGTTTTATGGCTACATTTGAAGATTTCAAGCGATTCCTATTTTTTTATCATTCGCTGCATGTATCTGGATCGTAACAGATAAGTTTGCCTCATGGAAAAAAAATTTCTACCGACCGATAATATAGAACACAATCCATCCTTGAAGTGAAAGAAAGTATAAACTTAAACGTTTGAATATTATTCTTATTCATATCGTTGGTAAAATTATTTGGCTTATTATGAGAGAATGGTGGCGCAGTGTTTAGTAGTTTTCTCAGCACTTTAGAGCTACCGGATTGAAACCGAATGCGGGCGTAAGTTTTCTCTTATTAACTGCTCGTTCACTGACTGCGACTGAGTCTGAAGACTAAGCCCTGTGTTCATGTCGATTTTATATCGATGCTCACCCACGGTCATACGTCATTGTTCATGACTGAAAAACTTCGATCTCGGATACAAGCGGCCGAAACAAACTTTCTGAGATGAGTCGCTAGAATTATGCGTTTTTACATGGTTCAGAAGACAGAGAGCCAAGAATCCAAGAGATGCTTCGTATTTAGCAACTACTGATTCCAATTGGGAAGTTCCAGCTGCGGTAGTTTTGGTATGCCTTGTTTCACACTTGCACACTTTCAGAAAAGGAAGCGAAACATACTACTTGCCAAACCTACCGATCGATGACCCCGAAAAT